CCCCAAAACCCCAAAACCCCAAAACCCCAAAACCCCAAAACCCCAAAACCCCAATATTAACACTAACTATTGATAAATTTGGGAAACAGGGATTCTACAGGCTCAGACCCAAATTGTGATACAAAAGAGGCCTAGTTGTACTTAGACTTGTTTCTCACCTGGGCCTCTAGTTCTCTAATTATCTCGTCTTTCTCTCTGATCAACATCTCGATGGTCTCGATCTCATCTCTAGGTTGTTCAAGTTCGTCAACAATAAGGTTCTTCTCGGCAATTTCTTCTCTCAAGTCAATGATGAGGTTTCTTCTCTGTTCAATTTCATATTCAAGGTCACCAACAAGCTTGCTCTTCTGCTCGATTTCCTTCCTGAGGAACTCAATCTCTTGCTTGGCAATGGCGATCTGCTCAGAGTTCTTCTGGATCACAAAGTTCAAGTCTAACAATTTTCTCACTTGCTCGGTAAGTTCTTCGTTAATGCCGTTCTTTTCTTCCAAGGAAGCGAGATATTTTCTATTGAGCTCGTCTAACTGGTCTCTTTGTCTGTTAATTTTCTCATCAAGGCCACTTCCGTCATCAGCAACTTCTCTTTCAAGGGCGCTCTTCTGGGACCTGAGATCCTCAAGTTCTCTATTCTTGTTATTCAATTCAGTGGTAAGAAGTCTAATTCTTTTAGCAACTTCTTCTCCTTCACCTCTGCCGATGGAGCTAGAAGCAAGCTTGGAGGTTCTGGAAACCTTGTCTTTCCATTCGTTATTTAATGTGCCAAGCTCATCCTTGAGCTTCTTGGTCCTTCTCTCAGATTCAGTGATAACATTATTGAATTCATCGATCTTACGTTGGTATCCTTGACCTCTGGCTTTATCCTTCTCACTTGTCAAGTAATCGATTTCATTTCTTGTCTTTTCAACGAGAATCTTGAGCTTAGCGATTTCATGCTTGAGGTCAGCTGCCTTCCTATTAGCGTCAATCAGGTCATCCTCAGCTCTGCTTCTATCACCTTCCAAAGATCTTATGTTATCCTCGTTCTTTCTCTTGAGTTGCTCGATATCTTTTGAGAGACGAGTGATTTCATCATTCAATTTATTAATCTGACTTTCGTTATCATTTACATTCTTATGAAGAATATTATTTTCGTTTTTCTTCTGGGAGATTTTATGTCTAAGATTAGCAAGTTCATCCTCAATTCTCTTCTTTCCTTCCTCAGCCTCAGAGATGAAGTTTTCAAAGTCACCTTTTGCACTGGAGTACTTCTCTTCAAGACCGAATTTCATGTTGAGGGTGTCTGTAGCTCCTCCAGCAAAGTTTAGCTCGTGTTCAAGCTTAGCAATTTGGTCCTTAAGATCAGTATTGACTGTTCTCACAGCGTTCATTTCAGCAGATCTTTGTTGGTTTTGGATATCTTCAAAAGCATCAATAATAGTCTGAAAATTTTGATTTTCCAGTTCAGTCTCAGCAAGTTGATCTCTCACCTTCCTCAGTGCATCTTCCAAATCAGCCATGTCTTCCCTAAGCCTTCTTTTCTCACTGGCTGATTCCTTAGTGGCGATATCAAACTCCTTATTAGCACCTGTAACTTTCTCCGAAATGGTTCTTCTCTGAAAGGCCATGTTGCCTTCACCTAGTTCAAAATCTCTATCATTGAGGTTATTCCTTTCATACTCCTCTATCCTAGTAATAGCATCAGTCTTGATCCTATCATTCTCGTTGGCAATATCTTCAGTGTCTCTAATGAACTTGTCCATGAGATCGCCCTTGAATCTTTCCAGGTCAAAAGCAGCGTATTCGTCTGCGCCATCCCTCACTTCTAAGAACTCGTGGTGGTTGACTTTGGACTTGATCCCACTAGGATCGTACTGGCTGCGATTGTAGGAGTAAGAACTCATTTTATAAATAAAATTTATTTATTTTTGGACTTATTCAAAATTTAGCTTGGTTTTAGGGGTTTTGGGGTTTTGGGGTTTTGGGGTTTTGGGGTTTTGGGGTTTTGGGG